AGCACTAATGAGCTTTGGATATTTCCTTTTACAGCTTTTATTTCCTTTTCAGTATTTTTCATTACTGTAATGCCTGAGGGCAAGTTGTTGAACAATTTAAAATTTGAATCTAATGAAGTGTGTTTCCCTTTTGTCTACAAAGTTGAATCTTGTTTGTCTTTGAAAACATAAAACATACGCATCTCATTGCACCATAGGCATATAAGGTACCCTTTTTCACAGGTTGCTTAATCTCCTTCGCTGTTTATTTTGAACAGTCATCATGAATCCAGACTCATCCAGTGAGCAAGCAATCAAGGCCCTTCAGGCCCAAAGTGCCCAGTTTCAAGAAATGGTCCTGATCCTGGCCCAAGGTCAGCAAGAGTTGAAGATCCTACTCCTGAAGAAGAAGAAGAAAAAGAGGACTGCGTTATTCAACACCGGACGCAGATTTGGGAACACACTCCACAATGAAGCTGATCCAACTACTTCTTCTGCTGAGAAAGACAGTCCCCAAGGGGGAGGAGCTCCTAGTCCGGCAGTCTCTGACAACGAGACGGACTACAATGACGAACAATACCCACCTGCTGCCGACAGATACAAGCAATTAGAGGACCGCTTGAGCCCCATGGAGATTCAGAATGTACCGGGGCTGGATTTCGGAGATTTGGGGTTATCTTCTGGGGTAGTAATCCCACACAAGTTTAAGGCGCCTTCCTTTGCCAAATATGACGGGGCTTCCTGTCCAAAGCTGCATCTAAGGTCATACGTAAGGAAGATCCAACCTTACACGGCGGATAAGAACCTTTGGATTCACTTCTTCCAAGATAGCCTTTCAGGGTCACAGCTTGAGTGGTTCTATCAACTAGATGGAACTAGTATCCGACACTGGGAAGATTTGGCAACCGCGTTCTACAGACAATATCAATACAATTCTGATCTCGCTCCTACGTACACTACGCCAAAAATGATTTTTTGTATCACCTAATTTAATAGCACTTTTAAAAAAAATGCTATTAAAATGGAAAAAACACATTTATAATAGCACTTTTTAATCGGGCGCTATTATATAATACAGACTAGGTAATTATGATAGCACTTTGTACCAGAACGCTATTATTAAACTTCTTTAAGATAGCACTTTGTATAAAACGCTATTATTTGACTACCTATATAATAGCATTTATTAAAAAGCGCTATCTTATATATAATAATGAATTAATTAATTAATTAATTAATTAATTGATAAAAAAAAAAGTTATTTCCATTAGAAACTGAAACAAAATAAAAAAACACAGGAAGGAGATTCCAAATCCATTACCTCCGACGACACGCCGGCGACCGCGACGACAACTCAACTGCTTCTGCAAGCACAATATCGACGCACTCCGGCCCCCTGAAGCTCACCGGCAGCCACCACTGGGCGTTCGACTCCGACCTCCATCTCCAGCCACTCTCGGTTTTGCTTGCAGGTAAGCAATTTTTTTCCTCTATTTTCTCGATTTGTTGTGATTGTTGTTGGAGAACTTAAATGCTTGATTTGAATCTTGGATTTCTATTTTGTTGTTGTTCTTATTTTAAGAGAAAGATTGATTTTGTTTTGGGGTTGAAATGGATGAGAGATAGAAAAAACCATGGTTATTGTTCTGCAAGTTGTGGTCTTTTGTGAGAGAGAGTAAGAAGAAGAAGTATCACTGTCTAGAAAGAAAAGAGAGAACTAACATTTCTCTCTCAAGATGTGTGCATTATAATTTGTTAAGTAGGTGACCAAACCTTACCACCACCACAGAGTAAAAACCTACCAAAGCATCAAGGTGAACAAAAGTTACCACCACCACAGAGTAAAAACCTACCAGATTCAATTCTACTTCTTAGCATCACCCTGTCAATCAACAAGCTCTCAGCTGATGATTGGAAACTATAGTCACACATGTCACCATAACTTGATCTCATACTTGGCAACTTTGAAACACTTTTTTCAAACTTTTTTATGTATTGTTGGATATCTTGTTGAGCTGTAGTGCCTTCAGATGGTTTCTGTGCAAAGGAGAAGCAGTGTTTAGAGTCAGTTTCTTTGCTATCAGCAGTTGAGCTGACTTGTTCATGGATAGCTTCCTTGGAATCAATGCTGGCTGGTGGCTGCATTGTGTCATAATGGATATGGTGTGATTGTTCTCGAGTGCCGGATTGCTGCAAAAATGTAAAACATATAGATTATCCAAGAAAAGAATAAAAAGATGCACTTGTTAAGTAGAAAGTAAATTACTGACGAAATTTGAAGGCGGAGTATTTGAACTTGCCTCGGTTAAACGAGATGGAGTAGGTGGACCAACCATACTGAGCGGAGGATCCTCTTGAGATGAAAAGTCCGAAATATCGAATGTTGATAGTGATACACACTCGTCAAAATAAGCCTTGGCATCTTCTGCAAGACGTTTCGACATCCTTTTTCTTTCAATGCTAGACTGTAACCGTGTTTTGGATTCATCAATAATGGGATAGAAACATCTAATGTAACATGTGGAGTAAATATAATGTGAAAGGAACCTACTTTTCTTGATGGACGAGACTTTGGTATATTAGGAGTCTTGGGATATGGAAGAACTTCTCTCAAGATTTTATCCAGTTCTCTCACTCGATGTTCTTCAACTGCCAGATCTGCTCTAAGACGTCTAGCTCGCTCTTTGGCCTGTAAATATGACAAGTTCTGCTCAATATAAAAGAACGAGACGTTAACCATACTTCATCTTCAAGTATAAATGGGAATACTACCTCTTCAAGCTTTTTGGTATACTCTCTTCTAGTCTCCAATGCTAATTCTATTGTACCAGGGCTTAGCAAGTCAGGATGAATATCAGCCATATCGGTGACAGTAACGGCTGTAGCGTTACTCACTTGAATAGCCTAAAATTCCCGAAACAAGAAGCAAGTTAGAGAATAGCATAGGATGAATCACAGTTAGTTATATCAATAGGCAGTTAACTTCAAGCTGGAAAGGAGAAAGTTATAGTCTCATGAAACTTACACTTTCGAGGTCAATCTGAATCTCAGAAATAGCCCGCCTAACTTCAGAACGAACTGTTTCATATATATCACTGCCTCCTAGCTGATCCCTTTGTACTGACTGCACAAGTCAAAACAGGGCGACTTTATACAAAAAAGTCAATTTCAAGCATACGTAGATAAGAGTAGGACTACAACAAAGAGTAAAAGATTTCCTATAGAAATACAACCTACATTTTGTACACAAACCGCTTTGATAGTTTTCTCATCACAACCAAATTTCCTGTCGCCATTTTGCACCAGTTTAACTTTTTCCTGCACATTACCAAAACTGTTTTTGTTCCACTCTTTTAGGTTAGCTTTAAGAATCCTCAGATTTTTGTCTAAAACATACACGGGACAGCCATACACTTTGGAATGCCAAGTTTGAGAAACTAGATTCAAGCAATCTTTGTGAAGGGTCCACATATTCATGAATTTAAAATTAGATGTGACTTTAGGATCATTATACTCGAAGTTTAGAAGCAGGGGATAGTGATCAGACTTGTTTTTGACAAGAGTATGGCAGGATGTTGAGGAGCAAGTATCGATCCAATGGAAATTACAGACAGCTCTATCGAGCCTTTTCTCAGAATGCTTACGGCCCAGGGGTGCTTACTTGGCCACTCTTAACAAAACAGTAGGGGTGATATTAGACTTACAAAAGCACCATAAGTTAGGCAAAAGATCATGCGTATAATTCATGGCAAATAGCTTAAGGTTGAGCTTCTTAAGCCAAGTTTGAAGGAATTTAGAAAAGTCCATCCAAGGTTCTGCTACCAAAACCAAGTCTAGATTGTTAACAGAAATTAATCTTTTGAGAGCAAGTCTGGAAGAGGCATTTGCAATTCCTCTAATATTCCAGAATATGCACGATGCTGAGAAAGTGCAGACTTGTTGGTGTGGCAACAGTTGAACCTATTGATGATTTCATTATGAATTCTTTCCTTGGTCTACCAACTGAGTGTCTTGCTGAATTAAATGCTGTCATCTTCATTTCTTCTACATCATAAGAGTTGAGGTTTCATTGCAAAACTAAATACAAGAAGATTAAAAAAACATAAGACAATAATGAGTTGTATTATACTAAGATAGGAATATGTATACCTAGAGACATGACTTCTTATTCATGGTGACAGAATACTCAATATCTTCTTTACTGTTTCCAAGTTGCAAAATGTACCTATTTTCTTTGCCAGCCATAAAATTTACTTCAATTTTCTTAAAAGGTTTTGCTATTCTAAGAGTACAGGTTAAGAATATTATAATTAGAAAACATTAAGTAAAAAAGTATTTCTACAAATAATTAATTAGTCTGTGCCCTTAAAAGATGGATAGTTTTCTTAATAATGGTTGGTTATGATTTCTACAAATAATTAAGTAATCATATAATATTATATTCTAATGATTTCATATTTCTTTAAGACTATAATTAATATTTATATTTTATATATGACATACTGTGTTTTTATCCTGAGATAGTAGAATATAAGTCCACTTGGTTGATTATTTTTCAAGCGTAAAATTTAGTCTTCTAAGTCCACCTGAGCCGGATAACAATCAGGTCTAGATTTTAGAAAGTAAGAAACTAGCCAATGTACCAAACTCAATCCTCCACTTGTAACAATGCAACTAGTGCAAAGGCATTTCATTACCCTACATTCTATAACACTTCTCTTGTACATTTTTGGACACCAACACCAAGGTTATAATGAAATTATAAAATCTTCCTATTCCAAATTGTAATACCATTTTATCAACATAAGATGAGGTCTTGTACACCAAAATTGCCATAAAACATTAATTACATTTCCTTTTCTTTTCTTTCTTTTTGGTTGTTTCTCTTTGTTGTGTGATATCTTCTAAACAAAACCAGTATCCCCTTCTGCATTCTCCAAGCCAGAAAATCTTCCAGCTCCATGTCTCATGTATTGCTATTTGGTATAACAGTAATTACTAACAAGACCTTCATAATAAATTTATTCAAATGCAAGCCTTTGAGTGCCAACCAGTGAAGCATACTGGCCCTTTTTAGCCAACAGCTCAAAATGAGTGCCTAGTTCCGCAACCCTCCCACCTGAACAGAGTGCAATTTGATAAGCATTTTGAACTGTGCTTAACCTGTGAGCTATGACTAATGTTGTCCTCCCCTTCATCAAATGGTTGAGAGCATCTTGAACCAAGCGTTCACTGACGGTATCCAGAGCACTTGTAGCCTGCAGAAGCAAATAATATCAAAATGGATACAGCTTATATGGATTCAGTCAGTGTTGTCAAGTACCAACTATAACAGTGCTATACCGCTGTAGTGTAGGGGAGTTTTTAACAAACCTTCTGCAATACACAATTTAGTACAACAATTTAGTTGTTAAATAACAACTATAGCACTGTAATCTAGTGGAATTTGAAGAAACGACTTTTCTTTGTGATCTGCTATAGACAACACTGGCTGCAAAACTAATCCACCGGTGTAGCAAGTTTCTGGTATAGCAAGTTTCTCACGCAACTCCACCGGTGTAGTATGCACACTCAGCCGAATCACCCCAAGGCTGCTATTTTCCTTCATATATCCTGCTCAAACTCAAGTTCATCATAAAGTCAAAATCAAATTCATAATCTCATATGGATCATAAAGTCAAAATCAAATTCATAATCTCATATGCTATATGACTCTTAAATACATAATTTGGTTATTAGAACCAATTTTTAACTAGTTATATATGTTACTTGTTAGGAAATATGGATCGAAAATGGATGTTTGCCAATCGAGCGTCAAAAGAATATGAAGATGGAGTTTGTGAGTTCGTTAGGTTTGCTATTGCTCATGCTGAAGACACTAGTAAAATCATATGCCCTTGCTTAGAATGTTGTTATACGGATGTTAGTGCAAATGTTTTGGAAGATCACTTAATATGTAATGGAATTGATAAAAGCTACACATGCTGGATAATGCACGGGGAAAAAAAAACCAAGTCCACAAAAAGGAGCAATGGGAGAGATTCATCAAATGATTTTGAAAAAGATACGAATTATGCGTTTGATCGAGTTGAAGAATTTGTCAATGTAATTGAGGAAGATCTTCGTGATTGTCCTCAAATGTTTGAGCGAATAGTAAGTGATGCAGAGACTCCGTTGTATGATGGATGTACTAAATTCACAAGACTGTCAACGGTCTTAAAGTTGTATAACTTAAAAGCACGCCATGGATGGTCCGATAGGAGCTTCACAGACTTGTTGACTCTGTTAAAGGATATTTTGCCTGAGAACAACGTGCTCCCTAGTCGAACGTATGAGTCTAAACAATTGTTATGTTCTATTGGCATGAGTTACGAGAAGATACATGCTTGTCCAAATGATTGCATTTTATTTCGCAAGGAGTATGCATCGTTGAATATGTGTCCTAAATGTAGTGCCCCACGCTATAAGAAGAAAGAAACAGCTCCAGCCAAAACGCTATGGTATTTTCCGATAATACCAAGATTTAGGCGCATGTATCATAATGCAGAAGACGCAAAGAACTTAACATGGCATGCAAATGAAAGGGTTGTTGATGGAATGCTCCGACATCCCGCAGATTCTCCTCAATGGGCAAAAATTGATCATGATTACCCAAATTTTGGGAAGGAAGAAAGAAACCTACGTCTTGCAATGTCTACTGACGGAATAAATCCTCATGGTATTCAAAGTAGTAAACTTACTTCTTGGCCAGTCATTTTGTTGATTTATAACCTACCTCCATGGCTATGTATGAAGCGCAAATACACGATGTTGAGTATGTTAATTTCTGGGCCCAAGCAACCAGGAAATGATATAGATGTATACTTGGCTCCATTAATTGAAGATTTAAAGCATTTGTGGGAGACAGGTGTGGAGGTATATGATGAGTATAAAAAAGAATCCTTCAACTTGAGGGCTATGTTATTTGGAACAATCAATGATTTTCCTGCCTATGGGAATCTATCAGGCTACAGTGTCAAAGGAAAATTTGCATGCCCCATATGTGAAGATGGTACACATTCAATACGATTGGAGTATTGTATGAAGAATGTATTTCTTGGACACCGTAGATTTTTAAATACCAACCATCATTTTCGAAAATGGAGAAAAGCTTTTAATGGGGAATCAGAAGAAAATAGAGCTCCTTTGGCTTTGACGGGTGATCAATTATACCAAAAGGTAAAGCTTTTGAGCACTAATTTTGGAAAGCCATTTTCAAGTGAACTTGTAAAGGGAGGATGGAAAAAAAAGTCAATTTTCTTTGAATTGCCGTATTGGAAGTCATTGTATGTTAGACATTTCCTTGATGTGATGCATATAGAAAAAAATGTGTTTGAAAGTGTCGTTGGTACATTACTCAATCTTCCAGGAAAGTCTAAGGATGGCATTAATGCAAGGTTAGACCTGCAAAGTATGGGATTAAGAAATGAGTTACAGCCGGTTAAGAGGGATGGGAAGCGTACATTTCTACCTCCAGCAGCTCATACTCTGTCAAGAAAAGAGAAAAAGATCTTATGTAAGGTTCTTCACAATGTTAAAGTTCCAGAGGGCTACTCATCAAACATTAAGAGTTTGGTATCTATGAAAGATCTCAAATTGAAGGGTTTAAAGTCTCACGATTGTCATGTTTTAATGGAGAACTTTCTTCCAGTGGCTATACGTTCCATTTTACCTGAAAATGTGCGATGGACCATAACTAAACTTTGTTTTTTCTTCAAAGCTATTTGTAGCAAAGTTATTGACCCTGAGAAGTTACCGACGTTACAAAAGGAAATTGTTGTCACATTATGTGAGCTTGAGATGTATTTTCCACCCTTATTTTTTGACATAATGGTTCATCTTACAGTCCATCTTATAATGGAAACACAATATTGTGGACCAGCTTATATGAGGTGGATGTACCCGATTGAGCGTTACATGAAGATAATAAAAGGGTACGTGAAGAATCGAAGTCGACCAGATGGTTGTATTGTTGAACGATATTTAGTTGAAGAAGCCATTGAGTTTTGTACTGAATACCTCTCTAATATTGAGCCCATAGGTATTCCAATGTCACGACACTCTGGAAAAACAACAGGGGAAGGGATTGGTGCAAGTAAACTAGTAACCATGTCAGACATCGAATTGGAGCAATCACACTTGTATGTTCTACACAATGCTGATGAGGTTGAGCCATATGTTGAAAAGCACAAAGAAATACTTCAAAGTTTGAACCCTAATAAGAGTGAAAATTGGTTAACAAGAGAACACAATCGAAGTTTTATACCGTGGCTAAAAGAACACATTTTTTCAGAATTTGCTAAAAATCCTGATTCAATTTCAGAAAGATTGAGATGGCTAGCAAATGGTCCAAATTCAAATGTTCTATCGTACTCTGGTTATATAATTAACAAGTATACATTTTATACAGAAGAACATGATCATCAAAGCACTGTGCAAAATAGCGGTGTCACACTCGTAGCTGAATCTGTGCATATCTCAAGTTCCAAAAATAGAAATCCCGCATTTTCCAAATTGTCATATTTTGGGGTCATTGAACGTATTTGGGAATTGGATTACTCATGCTTTCAAGTGCCCGTGTTTGGTTGCAAGTGGGTTGACAATAACAATGGCCTTCAAGTTGACCCTGGGTTCATGAAGGTCGATCTTAATAAAGTAGGGTATAAAGACGAGCCTTTTATTTTAGCATCACAAGCTCACCAAGTGTTCTATGTCACTGATCCTGCTGATGAAAAGTGGTCTATTGTGTTTCTAAGTAACAAAATAAATGATCACACCACTCCAAATATAGATGTTGAGGATGACCCTTTCTTTAATACTTCACAATCCCTTGAGTCTGAATCAATTATAGATGATATTCTTTATATGAGAAACGATCACAATGATGGGATTTGGATCAATCCATCATTTTATGTAACTAGAAAACAGAAAAGTAGGAATCCAACTACAAGGAAGAGGAAAAGGCCGACTTAATCTTGTATGGTTTATTTATTTGTTTTTCATTTTTTTATTGTTATTGCTTCTTAATGTTATTCTTGTATGGTATATAACTTTTTAAATTTTTATAGGTGAAATATGGCTTCTATTGATGATGAAAGTGGTTCGTCTAGTAAGAAAACAGTTGGTAAACGTGGTGTGACCCGATTGCAAAAAATTCACAAAGCCAAAAGCAATGGAAAGAGAATTGAGGTAAAATAGCTAGAGTTTTATGATACTGTTTACTCTCTTGGCAATTTTCCTTTTACTGAACTATGTATGAGTGATGGTTACATACATGATTATCTTTTATGAGTAAGTTGTTTGAAACTATTTGAATGTTAAACACTATTAGTGAGACTGTTGATTCTTTATTTGCACTTTAATTTTGTTATAGGTTCAATGGAATTCCAGAGGTCAACCAATCAAGCATAATAGCAAGACTTTTGCTAGTTTCATTGGTGTCACAGTTCGTCGGTTAGTTCCAATAAGCTTGGACAATTGGAGCGCGAAAAAAAATAAAGAGGCTGTGGGGGTTTATAAACAAAACATTTGGGATGAAATTGAAGTAACACACTAACTTAAGCTAGTTGTAAAATTTTAATTTCGTTAATCTATCGATTGGGATGTTTAAATAAACTGAACTATGTTTTAATAAACTGAATTATTTGCAGAAAGCTTTTATAATTGGCGAGGAACATCGTGCCTTTGTATATAGAGAAGCTGGAAAGTTGCACAGGGCATTCAGAACAAAAATGGCGAGGTCATATCTAAAAGATAGTAAGGGTGGTTTTGTTAAACATCGTCCGGCCAAATATTCTTTTTGTATAAAACAAGATGATTGGGATAAATTTGTAGCCCAACATATGACTGCAAAGTTTCAGGTAATACTTTTATCACTTGGATATGGATCCTTAAAGTTTTGCATGATTATAGTATTAGTGATAGTGTTGTGGGATGCATTTTTTATAATAAATGCAGAAAGTTAGTGATGAGAATCGAGAAAGAGCGTTAAATCCTCAACATCCCTATAGAAAGTCACGTTTAGGGTGTGCTCGTCTTGAAGCTGATATGGTAAGTATGTGTATAAATGTACTATACAATATTATAAAAAAATTTAATTGCTATGTTAATTTGTAAAAATGTATATACAGGTAGAAGAGTCAGAAGTTGGTGAGATAAACCGTAGTCAAGTGTGGAAGGCTGCCCGCGTCAATAAGAGCGGGGTGATTGATAATGAGAATGTTCAAAGAGTTGTGGATCAATGTGTAAGTCGAATTTTAGATGTGACACTATAGATGTTATTTCCAAAATGCTCACATTATAGATGTGACACTTTTTCTATACTCATCATTGTTACCGAATTTGTATTTTGTTAGTTAGTTTGAAGTCATTAAACTCGATTTTCCTTAATTAATTGAGTCTTTGTGTCTTATTTTGATAGAATAGCCATTAATTGCAACTTGTATCTAACTATTGGTTATTTCTTTTATACTTATCAATGTCAGGAGAAGTTAACAGAAGCTCTATCTGAAGAAGAGAGACAAGACCTTGGTCCCACAAACATATTATTTGAGGCTCTTAATCTCCCAA